ACATGGCAAAACCCCGTCTCTACTAAAAATACAAAAAAATATCTGGGCATGGTGGTGTGCATCTGTAATCCCAGCTACTCCGGAGGCTGAGGCAGGAGAATCACTTGAACCCAGGAGGTGTAGGTTGCAGTGAGTCAAGATCACACCACTATACTCCAGCCTGGGCAACAAAGCGAGACACTGCCTAAAATAAAAAAAATAGATGAAGATGCACATGCTGCTTTTAAGTACAAAGATAATTCTGTCATGACTACATTTGCTCTTAATTTAATCAATAAATTAAATGAAAATATCTATAGCATTAGAGGGGGTAGAAGAACTTTACAAAGCAATTCTCAAGTTAATCAAAAAGGGGGGGAGAAAAAAAAAATAAAAGGAGCCAGGCAGCTGAGGAGGGAGGATCACTTGAGTCCAAGTGTTCAACGCTGTAGTGAGCCATGATCACACCACTACACTCCACAGCCTGGGTGACAAAGTCAGAGCCTGTGTCAAAAAAAAAGAGAAAGGGAACCTTGGCAATCTTGACCCAAATCTTACAAAGAGAAGTTTTCAAAATGGACCTAAATATAAACCTAAAACCATAAAATGCCTAGAGAAAACATAAGAGAAAATCCTGTGACCTATGGTTAGGTGGCTAGGCAAAGCTTTCTAAGTTAAGAAACAATAGATGCGGCCGGGTGTGGTAGCTCATGTCAGTAATTCCAGCACTTTGGGAGGCTGAGGCAGGTGGATCACCTAACATCGAGGGTTCAAGACCAGCCTGACCAACATGGTGAAACCCCATCTCTACTACAAGTACAAAAGTTAGCTGGGCATGGTGGCACATGCCTGTAATCCCAACTACTCAGGAGGCTGAAGCAGAAGAACTTGAACTTGGTAGACAGAGGTTGCAGTGAGCTGAGTTAGTACCATTGCACTCCAGCCCAGGCAACAAGAGCAAAACTCGGTCTCAATTTAAAAAAAAGAAAGAAAAAGAAAAAAAAGATGCAAATCATAAAAAAAAATTAATGTACAAAGTGGGCTTCATTAATTTATAAATTTCTGCTGTGAAAAACTATGAAAGACAGGGAGCCACAGTGGCTCTGGCCAGTTGTCCTGGCACTTAAGGAAGCCAGGTTATGTGTTCAAGGCCAGCCTGGGCAACATAAGAACTTCTCATTCGTTAAAAAAAAATTTTTTTCAATTAAAAAAAAGAAAAAGAAAAACTGTGAAAGACAACATTAAGAGAATGAAAAGACACAGAGAATGGGGTCAGGACAGAACTGAGGCCAGGAGTTCAAGGCCATCCTGGCCAAGATGCTGAGACTCCAACTCGACTAAAAAGAGAATGATAGAAAACATTTGCAGCCTGGCGCAGTGACTTACACCTGTAATCCCAGCACTTTGGGAGGCCAAGGTGGGGGAATCATTTGAGGTCAAGAGTTCAAAAACCAGCCTGGCCAATATGGTGAAACCCCACATCTACTAAAAATAACCAAAAAAATTAGCTGGGCATGGTGGTGGGCCCCTGTAATCCCAGCTATTTAAGAGGCTGAGGCAGAAGAATCACTTGAGCTCAGGAGGCAGAGGCTGCAGTGAGCTGAGATCATATCACTGCACTCTGGACTCGTACCCACAACATGTAAACAACTTTCACAATTTGATAATAAGAAAACAACCCAATAATAGACACTTTGAACAGACAACTCACCAGAGAGATACATATAGAAAATAAGTACATGAAAAGATGCTCAACATCACTATTCATTAAGGTAATGTAAATTAAAACCACAATGAAATACTACTATGCATCTACTAGAATGGCTGAAGATTTCTAAACTGGCAATATCAAGAGTTGACAGTCTTTCTTGAGGGGAGCTCTGAGTAAGGAAAAAAAAAAGAGTTGGCAGAAATGAAAAATACAGCCACTTTGGAAAACAATTTGGCAGTTTCTTGTGAACTTAAACATACAATTAGCAAATGGCCCAACAAGTCCACTGCTGGGGCCAGGCACAGCATCTCATGCCTGTAATTCTAGCACTTTGAGAGGCTGCAGCAGGCCAGGAGTTCGAGACCATCCTGGCCCACATGGTGAGATCCCCATCTCAACTAAAAGTACAAAAAAAATTAGCTGAGTGTGGTGGCAGGCACCTGTAATCTCAGCTACTTGGGAGGCTGAGGCACAAGAACCGCCTAGCCGAAATCACACCACTACACTCCAGCCTGGGCAACACACTAGGATTCTGTCACAAATAATAATAATAATAATAATAATAATAATAATAATAATCCACTGCTAGGTATTTACCCAAAAAAAAAATGAAAACATATATCCACTCCAAGATTTTTTTTTTTTTTCTTTTTGAGACATAGTCTTACTCTGTTACCCAGGTTGGAGTGCAATCGTGCAATCTCGGCTCACTGCAACCTCCACCTCCCAGGTTCAAGTGATTCTCATGCCTCAGTCTCCAAAGTAGCTAAGATTACAGGCACACGCCACCACACCCGACTAATTTTTTTATTTTTAGTACAGATGACTTTTCACCATGATGGCCAGGCTGGTCTCAAAACTCCTGACCTCAAGTGATCTGCCTGCCTCAGCCTCCCAAAGTGCTAAGATTACAGGTGTGAGTCACTACGCCCAGCCCACTCCAAGATTTCTATGTGAATGTTTAGGGCAGGCTTACCTATAATCTTCAAATACTAGAAACAATCTAAATGCCCACCAACTTATAGCAACAAACTGAGCTATCTTCTCAAAAGGAATTACTACTCAGAAATAAAAAGAAATGAACTAATTCATGCAACTGTAGCATGGATCTCAAAAGCAATATAACAAGTAAAAAAAGCTAGACAGAAAAAGCTAGTGTATGATTCAACTTATACAACATTCTGAAAAAGGCAAAACTATTGAGACAGAAAACGGATCACCCTTGGATTAGAGATGATGGGAGAGCAATGAGTAGCAAGAGGGAACTTTCTGAGGTGATAAAAATCTGCTATGTCATTACTCTACTGGTGACTACCAACGGTATACATTCATCAAAACTCATAAAACTATATACCTAAAAAGGGCAAATCTATTTTATGTAAATTATACTTCAATAAGTTTCAAAAAGCCAGGAAAATCCTGAGTAAGAATATGGGGATTTTTGCCCTATAGATATCAAATCTATTCTAAAGATAGAGTAATGAGGGTATTAGCTGAGCAGAAACAAACTTATAGAGGCAGATGTAAAAAACTGCAAATCTGAAAACAGACCCAACTACACACGTGATTTTAGTATGATAAACGTTAGCATTCTACATCTTTGTGGAATGAAAGGACCATTCAAAAAATGACGTTAAAAAAACTAATTACTGGAACAAAATTAATCTGGATTCCTAATTCTGTGTCCAAATAAATTCTAAATAGAGCAAATATTTTAATCAATAATGTCATACAAAATATTAATAGGCTATTTAAGAAAATATTTTTTAAAAACTAGAGGTAGAAATAACGTTTCTAAGAAATAAAAGCCAGAACAGCCAAGCGAGGTGGCTCACACCTATAATCCCAACACTGGGAGGCCAAGGCATGAGGACTGCTTGAGGCCAGGAGTTTGAGATTAGCCTGGGCAATACAGCAAGACCACAGCTCTATTTAAAAAAAAAAAAAAAGAGAGAGAAAGAGAAATAAAAGCCAAAAAATTGAATTATTAATTAATTTGAGTACATAAAAACCTAAAACTTCTATATGAAAAGATCAAGCATATCCCCTTAAATAATGTTCATGAACTAATGACAGTTTTGAGAGAAAAAAAATTCAACAGTAAAGGGCTGTGTCTTGCTGTTGCCCACAAAATAGTCTGAACTCCTCATCCTGGCAAAAAGTAGGCACACTGTGGCAGACTTTCAACTGCTAGGCCATCCTAACTTCCAACTTTGTACAAAAGCATCAATCTCAGCCAAATGGTTCTATTCACATGACCACCAAATGTGCCACACACCCTTCCGCCTCTACAATCTTATTCACACCAGCCCACCCTTCTACCCCAAATAAGCCTGTCTCCCTCATCCCTCCTTACTTCAACTATACTATTCCTCCAAAATCCAGTTCATTCATTTGGTAGTCTCACAACACAAGGTATGATTCTGGATGAAGGAGATTTAAAACCAAAATTAACAAAGGTGGCATAGTAGTTGAGAGCTGGGGCTCTGAAATCAGACTATCTAAAGATATGAAACCTAGATTTACCACTTATTTTATATTTAAATTTTCTGTTGCTTTTAGCCATTACTGGAGACAGTGGGGGAAAAAATTAAATAAATAAACTTTCTGAGCTTCCATACACTATTTATGAAAGGCTAATATCTAATTAAACTTTAAAGAACTTGTGAAAATTATATAAAACCACAGTATATGTAAAGTGCTGAGTACAGGTCTATAAATTTTAGCTATTATTATTATTACTGTTTCTATCCTCAAAGAGCTCATATCCCAGCTCATGGTGCATCAAGTATTCACTGCATCAGCTTATGACCTATCTCAAAAGTGCTTGATATAGATGCTAGTCTATAATTTAAAAAAGAGAGAAGTGCTTGACAAAATTTACAAATTTTGGTACTTTCATTATCCTCAAATGAGGAAACTGAGTAATACTGAATATTTATTCCCTTAAGATATAAAATTCATTGGTGATCCAACCAGAATATGTATGATCCCAGGACATTTGCTTTCCATATATTGCTCCAATGACAAACCAGTGAAAGTGGCTCTGAGTTAAATATCTACAGAAAATATATATCATTCCTATAAAAAAAGGTTAATAAAAGTAGCTACTTAAATATGCAAGGTAAAGATGGTAAATAAAATTAATTTCTTAAAGAAAATACTATATGTTTTTCTTCAGATAAATCATTAAGTGTAAGAGAAAGGTCATAAATGATCATCAAAACAATACCTGCTCTGAAGGACTTCATAAAATCTAGGACCAGACGCAATTGCTAGAGAATCCCGGGACTTTGGGAAGCCAAGGCAGGTCGATTACTTGAGGTCGGGCACTCAAGACCAGCCTGGTCAACATGGCAAAACGTTGTCTCTATTAAAAATACAAAAATTAGCTGGGAGCGGTGGCGCACACCTGTAATTGCAGCTACTTGGGTAGCTGAGGCATGAGAATCACTTGAACCTGGGAGCCGGAGGTTGCAATAAGCTGAGATCGTGCCACTGCACGCCAGCCTGGGCAACAGAGTGAGACTCAGTCTCAAAAAAAAATAATAATAAAAAATAAAAATCCAGTTTAATGGGAATTCATATGGGTATACAGTTAATTTATATTAGCCAAGAGAGGACATTATGGAGTAGAGAATACAATTTTAAATTATATACAGTATCATCAATATATATTTGTTATATTTAAAAACAGGCAGGGCTTTTTTATTTTTGGTCATGTTACCAATATTGGAATAGATTACCAAATGTAATGGACTACTACAATCAATCTTTATCTACAAGCGCTGTGCAAGTGGCCTTCCGAAATTCAAACTATGGTGAATTAAGAATTCAATAAAAGTGTTTACCATAAGATTTTGATCATACGGGTAACAATAAACTTACAAATATTTACTCTTGTACCCGAAATCAAAATAGATTGACAAATTTTAAATTAGACACAGGAGCAGCAATATCAAATCAAAATAGATTGACAAATTTTAAATTAGACACAGGAGCAGCAATTTATACTGAGTTTCCCACCCCCCAAAATAATTCATTTTGTATTTAGGAATCATTTGGCATCATTCTTTAACGAAATGGTTAGGCTAAGATCATTGCCAACATAATGCCATTAAGGCCAGGCCCAGTGGTTCATGCCTGTAATCCTGGCACTTTGGGAGGCTAAGGCAGTCAGATCACCTGAGGTCAGGAGTTTGAGGTGAAACCCTGTCTCTACTAAAAATACAAAAATTAGCCAGGCATGGTGTCATGTACCTATAGTCCCAGCTACTCAAAAGGCTGAGGCAGGAGAATCTCTTGCACACCGGTACACCCGAGCCTGGGCAACAAAGTGAGACTTCATCTCAGAAAAAAAAGGGAAAAAAAAGAACATTATTAAGTAAAAGATAGTTAGGGAATTGGATATTCACAAGACATCACCCCACAGATTACAAGCTAAATGCAAATATAAAAATGAACCATCACAGGTCAGGTGTGGTGGCTCACATCTGTAATCCCAGCACTTTGGAGGCCGAGGTGGGTGGATCACCTGGGGTCAGAAGTTCACTGGAACTGGGAGGCAGAGGCTGCAGTGAGCCAATATCAAACCATTGCACTCCAGCCTGGGTGACAGAGCAAGACTCCCAGATTCAAGTGATTCTTGTGCCTCAGCCTCCCAAGTGGCTGGGATTACAGGCGCCCACCACTATGCCCAGCTAATTTTTGTATTTTTGGTAGAGACGGGGTTTCACCATGTTGACCGGGCTGGTCTCAAACTCCTAGCCTAAGGTGATCCACCCACCTCGGCCTCCCAAAGTGCTGGGAGTACAGGCGTGAGCCACCATGCCTGGCCACAATTTAAACCTTATAAGCACTATTAGTTATGTTATGGAGAAAAAAAAATCAGTCCTAATTGTTTCTTAATGAAATTATTTATGTCTGGAATATGCTTTAAAATTCTAGAGCCAAAAATATACAAATAAGTGGAGGATGGGAGGTGAAAAAAACTGTTGAAGTAGCATAATGGGTACATCCGGAATTCAATGTAAACTGGTTTCTTTTGCATTAACTAAAATTTTTATGATTAAAAAGTTAAAATTTTCGCCAGGTGCGGTGGCTCAAGCCTGTAATCTCAGCACTTTGGGAGGCCAAGGCGGGTGGATCACGAGGTCAAGAGATCGAGACCATCCTGGTCAACATGGTGAAACCCCGTCTCTACTAAAAATACAAAACATTAGCTGGGCATGGTGGTGCGTGCCTGTAATCCCAGCTACTCAGGAGGCTGAGACAGGAGAATTGCCTGAACCCAGGAGGCGGAGGTTGCGGTGAGCCAAGATCGCGCCATTGCACTCCAGCCTGGGTAACAAGAGCGAAACTCCGTCTCAAAAAAAAAAAAAAAGTTAAAATTTTCAATCTGTAATTCAAGAAAAAATAAAATATACAAGATAAAATTGAATGTATACTCGAAAATGTTTTGAAGTTAAAAGTTTATCATTATTTTTCAATATCCTATTTTAGGTAGTTTATTCATAACTTGAAAGTTTAATTCGCTTGAGATTGGTGAAAAATTAATGAGATTAAATAAACTTAAAACTTCTGAAATATAAACTTCTTTCAAAAAGTTAATATGGATCATTCTAACACAAATCAGGTGGTCTCAGAAACCAGGACACCATGGCAAAATTAGACAAAGTATACTTATCTGTGAATTCAGTGAAATTAAATGCTCCTAATGTGTTAACTATGAAAGAAAGGTCAGGAACTAGAATCCCTTATGAATGCCTGACAATATGCCAGGTTCTACAATACCATGTTTGCATAATTCTAACAATCACCCTGTGAAAAATATCATCCCTATATAACAGATGTGCATCACTCAAAAACAGTAAGTGTATGGGGGCATGGTAGCACACCTGTAGTCCTAGCTACTGGGGAGGGTGAAGCAGAAAGATCCTTTGAGCTCAGCAGTTCAAGGTTACAGTGAGCTATGACAGCACCATCTCATTCCAACCTGGGCAACAGAGCAAGACCCCTGCCTCTTAAAAATATACCCAGGCCGGGCGCGGTGGCTCAAGCCTGTAATCCCAGCACTTTGGGAGGCCGAGGCGGGTGGATCACGAGGTCAAGAGATCGAGACCATCCTGGTCAACATGGTGAAACCCCGCCTCTACTAAAAATACAAAACATTAGCTGGGCATGGTGGCGCATGCCTGTAATCCCAGCTACTCAGGAGGCTGAGGCAGGAGAATTGCCTGAACCCAGGAGGCGGAGGTTGCGGTGAGCCGAGATCGCGCCGCGCCATTGCACTCCAGCCTGGGTAACAAGAGCGAAACTCCGTCTCAAAAAAAAAAAATATATATATATACCCAAACAGGCCGGGCGAAGTGGCACATGTCTATATCCCAGCACTTTGGGAGGCCGAGGCAGGAAGATCACCCGAGGTCAGGAGTTCAATACCAGCCTGGCCAACATAGCGAAACCCCATCTCTACAAAAATTAGCTGGGTGTGGTGGCGGACACCTATTGTCCCAGCTACTTGGGAAGCTGAGCCTGGGGAAAAGAGTGGGACTTCTCAAAAAAAAAAAAAAAAAGTACCCAAACAGTAGGAAAAAAGAGACAACAAAACACATACTCCACTTCTGACATAACTAGGAGATACTGTAACTATTACCTGAAATATAATGTATAAAGACAAAAAGCTGATGACAGAATGGTAAATGCCTTGGCATACTGGGAGAGGTAATGACAAACAATCCTGTTTACCCTGCAATACCCCAGACAGAAAAGCTCAGAAATTGGAGAGCGCTGGGAAACAGGGCAGAATACCTACACACACACACTCCTAAGGGAACAAGAGAGGTATGGTCCTTGGCAAAACTGAATCAGAGTGGCTCCAGGATGAGGGATATCCCTCACAGAAAGAGAAGTGAAATGCTGGTATGAAAACAGGGAGACTAGGTAAAAACTTACGAACTGAAAGACAAGACTTGTAGCTTTCTTCCCCCGTGAAGCACAAGAACCCTGTCATGCAAACTCACTACCTCTGTCAAGCCCTTCACTACGGACTGAATTGTGCCTCCCCAAAATCCATATGTTGAAGCCCTAATGCCTAATATGACTGTATCTGAATATAAGGCTTTTAGGAGGTAACTAAGATTAAATGAGGTCACAAGGGCACAGCCCCAATCCAATAAAATTGGTAGCTTTATAAAAGGAAGAGATTTTTTCTTTCAACTATAGGAAAAGTTATGTGAGCACAAAGGTAGAAGACAGTCATCTGCAGACCAGGAAAAGAGCCCTAACCAAAACCTGGCCATGACGGCATGCTGATCTCAGGCTTCCAGCCACCAGAATTATAAAACAACTAATTTCTGTTAAGTCACCAGTCTATGGTATTTTATTATAGCAGCCCAAGTGACTAAGACTCTCTTCCTCTCTCCATCATTCCACCCACATAGAGATAGGAAAAATAAAGGACCTCTATCTGAAGAAACTGAAAGCCTTCTTACCCACCTCCCAGAAAAAAAAAAAAAAAAATGAAGATTAAAAACATGGCAGTCCATTAGTCATTAACCTTGCTCATGATCACAAAGATCTGAACAAAGCCTCCAACTTTCTTTCCAACCCCAAAGAGATCAAAACAAACAGAAAGAACAGAAGTTAAAAGAACCAAAAATAATAGGGGGAACAGAAAAACACCTCAAAGAAGCTGTAATTAATATCCTTGAAGAGGTAACAGAAAATGTTGCATCCATGGAAAAGGAGCAAAATACTGTAATACTGAAACAAAGAACAAGAGCTCTTAAAATCTTTTATTAAAAACTGAAACTTTAAAATTCAGCGAAGGCTGGGCGCTGTGGCTCACGCCTGTAATCCCAGCACTTTGGGAGGCCGAGGTGGGCAGATCGCCTGAGACCAGGAGTTTGCGACCAGCCTGGCCAACATGGCAAAAACCCGTCCCTACTAAAAATACAAAAAATTAGCCACACGTGGTGGGCGCCTGCCTGTAAAGCCAGCTACTCGGGAGGCTGAGGCAGGAGAACTGCTTGAACCTGGGAAGCGGAGACTACAGCAGGCTGAGATAGTGCCATTGCACTCCAGCCTGAGCGATAGAGCAAGACTCTGTCTCAAAAAAATAAGATAAAATAAAATAAGCTGGCGTGGTGGCTCACACCTATAATCCCAGCACTTTGGAAGGCCGAGGTAGGTGGATCATCTGAGGTCGGGAGTTCAAGACCAGCCTGACCAACATGGAGAAACCACACCTCTACTAAAAACACAAAAATTAGCCGGGTGGGGTGGTACATGCCTGTTATCCCAGCTACTCAGGAGGCTGAGGCAGGAGAATCGCTTGAACTCAGAAGGTAGAGGTTGCAGTTAGCCAAGATTGTGCCATTGCTCTCCAGCCTGAGCAACAAAAGCGAAACTCTATCTCAAAAAATAAAATAAAATAAAACTCAATGAAAGTTCAGAAGACTGAGATGTGAAGAAAAAGAAAAAATAAATGACAAAATTCAGTGAAAGGACTGAAATTCCCCAGATAGAACTGACAACTTTTTGGAGATCAAACTTCTTAACATCTACTTTGAGAACCAGGCAATAATGGAACACTACTTTCAAACCTTTGAGGGA